CAGTGTGTAGAACATTCGTCGGTTTCAAACGCTAAAAACCCCTGAAATGGTGCGTTCAGGGAGGAGCCACCTCCTCTGTCCCCTTCACCCCCCCACTCCCACACTGTAGGTGACGATTTTTGTCAGATTCTGGTTTTCAGAGCAAACAAGCGATCTGTGGAAAGATAAGTCAGCAGACACATCGTGTTACTTAACTCCTTTCTCAGAAGGAAGTTAGCCCATTATAGAGCTTTGTACCCCGCTTTCTGCTTTTCCAGTTCCTGGTGCTCCTGGAAGAAGCGGCCACAAACTCCACGCTGGAAACAGTGCACATTCACGCCCGTGTGGCTCTCTGGCCGAGGAGTCTGACGCGGTCCCATTGGCTGCATGAAGCGGTCAGCAGGGCTGCGTTCCTTCCAGCAGCTACAGGCACTAAACAAAACACTCGTAAACAGCAAACGGATCAAAGAAAAAAAATCGTAACAGAAACAAAAAATATCTCTAAACAAACGAAAATGGAAAGACACATACCAAAACCTGTGTATAGCCTGCTGCAGAAGCATTTCAGAGAGGGAAATTTGTAGTCGTGAATGCATCTGTTAAGAAATTGGAAAGATCTCAGGTGCCTGGGTGGCTCAGTCGTTAAGCATCTGCCTTCGGCTCAGGTCATGGTCCCAGGGGTCCTGGGATTGAGCCCCGCATCGGGCTCCCTGCTCCACGGGGAGCCTGCTTCTCCCTCTCCCACTCCCCCTGCTTGTGTTCTTGCTCTCGTTATCTCTCTCTCTGTCACACAAATAAATAAAATTTAAAAAAAAAGAAATCAGAAAGATCTCAACTACACAGCCTAACTTTACACCTTGAGGGACAAGAACAAAAAGAGTACACTAATCCCAAAGTTAGCAGAAGGAAAGAAGGGGAGTGGAAAGAAATGAAATAGAGACACACACCCCTGAAAAAAAAAGAAAAGATCAATGAATCTAAGAGTTTGTTGTTTGAAAAGATAAGCCAAATTGACAAATGTTTAGCTAGACCACCTAAGAAGAAAAACGAGAGAAAACTTGAATAAAATCGGGACAGAAAGAGGCATTACAACTGACACCATAGAAATACGTAGAATCATAAGGAACTACTACCAACAACTCCATGCCCACAGATGACACAACCTGGAGGAAACCGATCAACTCCCAGCAACACAGAACCTACCACGACTAAATTAGGAAGAAATAGAAAATCTGAACAAACCGATAATAAGCAAGGAGACTCAACGGGTCATCAAAGACCCGTCAACACAGAAAATCCCAGGACACCAGATGGCTTCACTGGCAAATTCTATTGAACATCCAAAGAGGAATGAATGCCAATCATTCTCAAACTCTGCCCAAAAAGTGGAAGTGGGGTGGAGGGGGGGTACATTCTCAAACTTGTTCTTCCAGGCCAGTGTTATCCTGATGTCAAAGTCAGAGGAAGACTCTACATGTTATCCTGATAATGATACCCCAAAATCAGATGAAGACACTACCAAATAAATAAATAAATAAATAAATAAATAAATAAATAAAGAGACCAAAGTTTTTATCTGTCCTTCATAACTCCAGAACAATTTCCCAGACAGATCATTCTTACCAGCATCTTTTCCTTTCAGTGTGTTAATTAGTCTTGAATTTGGATGTCCAAGTATCTCCCTGGGCTTAGGGAGTTCTCGGTTATCATTTCTTTACATAAGCTTTCCACTCCTTCTCTCTCTATCTCTCCTTTTTCTGGAACTCTAATCATTCTGTTCTGCGGTAGATGCTGTCCCGTGCCTTCTATTAATTTTACTCATTAACTGAATTCCTCGAGTCCACAATTTCCATTTGACTCTTTTGTACGATTTCTATCCCTTTGTTAAATTTCTCTTTTGGTTCACGTATTGTTCTTCTTTTCTCGTAACTCGATGAGTTTCGTCAGTGCAGCTATTTTGAAATCTTGGTCAGCTACATGGCGAAATTCCAAGTCTGAGTTCAGTTACGGGACGGCTGTCCTCATTTTTGCTGATGACATGTGTCCTTGATTCCTTGATTCCTCGTGATCCTTGGAGTTTCCCGTGGCTGTTTTAGCATTTGAAGTGGCGGTCACTCCACAAATCTTTAGTAGCTGCCTTCATGTGGGAGATGTTTTTTCATTGGTCCTGCTTATGTGTGATACTTTTTCCAACTTTGCAAGGATGCACAAAATTCGTAAACTTGTACTTCCTTTCTGGTCCTTGAAACCCACCAGGCTGGCTGCTGGAATCTCTCTTTGTTTTGCTACAAGTCTGTGGTTTCTCTGTTGCTCACAGACCCCAGTTTGTTTTCTGAACCTGGCCACAGCATGGAATGAGGTGTGGGTTTTCACACTTGGGGAGTGGAGAGCACCCTTGGGCTGGGGCTGGGGGTGTTGGGGGTTCAGATCTCCCAACAGCTCAGAGACAGGCTTCCTGCTGGGGTCCTGAATGCAGTCAATGGGAACCACATCTGTTTAATCCCTTGGATATTCTTATCTGCCTCTTTCCCCATCTCCTGCTCCCCCTGTCTGGAGGTCCTGCTTCAATACTCTGGGTGTCTCCAGCAGACCCACAGAGCTGGGGAGGCCGGGCACCCCTCACTGTTCTCCCATTCCATTTGGGCTAGTTCAGCCCTCCCCCAACTATGCCCCCCACCCCGGGCAGAGGGGTGACTTGGCAAAATTCCTCTTACTGTCTCAAATGCATCTCCATTTCCTTCATTTACAACGAAGGGTCAGGATACACATGTCATTTCTAAATATATGCACCTTAACACTTGGTGGGTGTTTCCCGGTCTCTATAAAATGTTCAATTACAATGTTGCAGACATCATCCTCGTTTCTGTCCTTCTGGCACTTACAACACATCCTCATTCTGTTCCCCAAGCATCTCGAATTTCCACGGCTGGTCTCTCTATGCTGCCTTCTGGAAAACCCCTCAATACTGCATTCCAGTTTTATAAATGGCTCTTCAGCTTTGTCTTGTCCTTCATGGAAAGAATTTTTTGAATGTATTGATTTTATTGGATTTTTCATCTCTAAAATTTCTTAATTGTTTCAAGAATTGCCTATTCTTCCATAACATAATCCATATTCTTGCATCAAAAATTCATTATCTCCTTTTATTTTTTTATTTTTATTTTTTTTTAAGATTTTATTTATTTATTTGAGAGAGAGAGAGAATGAGAGACAGAGAGCATGAGAGGGAGGAGGGTCAGAGGGAGAAGCAGACTCCCCGCTGAGCAGGGAGCCCGATGCGGGACTCGATCCCGGGACTCCAGGATCATGACCTGAGCGGAAGGCAGTCGCTTAACCGACTGAGCCACCCAGGCGCCCCTCCTTTTATTTTTTCAGATAGTTAAATATGCTTAATTTTATTCTCATATTTTTTTATCCATTCTACTTCCTTGTATAGGATAATTCCTATTCATCAGTAGCTTATTATCCACAGCACTGTTTACCATTGTTAGGATCACTCTCTGATGTCCATTCTTAGTGGACACTCTCCTCCCACACACTTGTTCGTACAAGAAGGGTTTCTCCCGGGGCTGTTCTGGGAGTCGGGCTGACCGCAAGAGATAATTGCAGCTTCTGCTCTGCGGTGTCCACTCTCTCAAATGTCGCATCTGTTCAGGGTTGTGTTAAGCAGGGACGGGTCCAGTGCAGCCTCAAGCTCACAGTCACTCACGGAAGAGAAAAGCTGCCGTGAATCTGTTTTACACACACATAGGGGAGGTGGCCTGAGTCAGGGAGTGGAAAAACCCCTGTGCTTGTCCACAAACACACATTGGGGAGCACCGCAGTTTCCAGCCTTCACCTGCAGCCCTGTCCCCTGCCTCCCTGTGAGGACCCTGGGGTCCCTCTCTGTGTCCACATGGGTGGAAGCCTCTACTCGATGACCCACTGACGGTCCTGGGAATTGGCAGCTGCTCAGCTTTGTTCTCTGTTCTTTCTTGTGGTTCCATGACTATTTGGGGAACTTTCATTTCTCGGTTCCTGCATATGACTGTTTCTACACATCTCAGAAATGTGGCAAGTAGCACCTCTTGGTATGAGGGGCATGTGAGGGGTCTTGACTGGATGCAACAAACATCCACATAAGTTGAGTCTGACCCCATAATCCTCCCATGTACCAAACCCCTCTTAACCTGCTCTGGAAACTAACAGTGATGGATCCCCTCCCATGAACTGGGAACCACTGAATCCCACAACTACCCTGAGGAGTGAGGTTCAGGACAACAAGACCTAAATAAGGAAACAGGCTTGAAGACAGGATGTTACCACCCTGGGCCACAAGGCAATGGATAATAGATGAATATTTAGATAAAAGTTAACTTTCCCTTCACAATCAGAGCTCTAGCTGAAATAAATGTCCCCTACAGCTTACAGGCAGAACCCCAAGGTGGGGAAGACAGCTCCGTCCGAGGAACAAGGGGCACCGAGGAGCCAGGAGAGACACACAGGGATGTTCCCAGGAAGGGGGAGGGGGTGTGGACGGTATCACAGGAAAATAGAGAAGACCATAGAGGTTGTGATAGAAAGAAAGGCCATGCTCTGGAGCCAGGAGAAGGGCTGTGCTCCCTTCCGTATTTGCCTGTTTTCCCCCCTGGGCTCATTGCCACTGTGATTTCAACCTGGGCTGAGCAGATTTGTCACACGTGTGTCTGTCCTGACATAAGCTCCAAATAGTGGCAGGAACCCATGTCCACTGTGGCATTTCCAGGGCTTGGGGACCCCATCCACAGTGAGGACCCCAGGGATGTGCTGAGGATGAAGGAGACCCAGGGAGGAGGCTCTGGGAGGGAAGGACATGCCTGGTCTCCTCACCTGGATGGGGCATCTCAGGAAGCCTCGGGGTCCACTTGCTGCACCATCATGGACACCAGAGCCAGGCTAGGTCCTGGGGAGGGGCTGTTCCCTTCCTGTGGGGCTGCTGACGTGACAACCCCGTGACGGACAGGAACGGCCTCCGCGTGGCCACACCCTGTGTGTCTGTCCGTCCTGTGGGTGCCTTGCTCCCTCCGTCTGCACAGCTGGAACCAGAGAGAGGAGACGCCATGACCCCCACCCTGACGGCCCTGCTCTGTCTCGGTGAGATCTGAGGAGGGGAGGGGACGCCCTATTCTGGGAGGGACCCGCCCCACAGCCAGGCCCTGGTCTGTCAGAGACCCCAGACTCAGGAGGCTCACGGGAGGAGGGGTTCTGCTCAGGATTCGGGGCAAACCTCTCACAGGAACTCTCTTCCAGGGCTGAGTGTGGGCCCCAGGACCCGAGTGCAGGCAGGTGAGTCTGTCCCCAGGGGTCCCAGTCCCACCTCCTCACTGGGGACAGGGGTCACCCTCCAGGCAGAGGGGATGGAGAACAGCATTCCAGGCTGACAGAGGGGGACGTCTGGGGGTTTGGGGCAGAGCTGGGACCTGGGGGTGGGGAAGGTCTTGTGTCCCAGCCTCCGTTTCCTTCCAGGGACCCTCCCCAAACCCACCATCTGGGCTGAGCCAGGCTCTGTGATCCCCCGGGGGACCCCTGTGACCATCTGGTGTCAGGGGAGCCTGGAGGCCCAGGAGTACCACCTGCAAAAAGAGGGAAACTCGGTGACCTGGGACAGTCAGAAGCCACTGGAGCCCAAGGACAAGGCTAAGTTCTCCATCAAATACATGACAGATGTAGATGCAGGACGATATCTCTGTAACTATCGCAGTCCCACTGGCTGGTCCGAGTACAGTGACCCCCTGGAGCTGGTGGTGACAGGTGCGAGCCCACTCAGGGTCCCAGCCCCAGGCTGTGCCCTCAGGAAGGGGGTCTGCTCTCAGGGTGTCTCCCTCTCACAGCCCAGCCCTGGGGATAATGTGGGGGATCTGAGCCCCATTTAACACCGTCCCCTCCTCCTCTCCTAGGATGACAGGACAAACCCCAGCTCTTAGCCCTACCCAGCCCTGTCGTGACCTCAGGAGAGAATGTGACCCTCCAGTGTGGCTCATGGTTCGGATTTGACAGGTTTGTTCTGATGAAGGAAGGAGAACGCCAGCCGTCCTGCACACTGGTCTCCCAGCGAGCCCCCAGTGGGGGGTCCCAGGCCCTGTTCCCTGTGGGCCCCGTGAACCCCAGCCCCAGGTGGACGTGCAGATGCTATGGTTATTACAACAACACCCCCCAGATATGGTCGCACCCCAGTGACCCCCTGGAGCTGGTGGTCTCAGGTGAGGAACCCAGCCCTGTCCCCTCTGTGGTCCTGTGGTCAACTCCTGACCCTGTCTGGAAGACCCACAATATAGGATGGGAATGAGGGTGCTCCAGGGAGGGTCATCCAGAGGGGCATCCACCCCTCCAAGGAATGGAGGACCACACTGTCCCCCCAGGCTTGCCCCTTCCCACACGCCCATCACTCAAAGCTCCAGGTATATGCAGAAGGGTCTTCAGGGCCCCAGGGCAGATATACCAGAAGGGTCTGAGCCTAGAGGGGGTCTCTATGGGAAGCTCCAGCCCTCCACCCTCCTCTTGTCTCTTTCCCAGGACCCTCTGGGGGCTTCAGCCCCCCCCACACACAGGTCCCAACTCCACAACTGATGCATTCCTGGGACCTCTTAACTCAGAGTACAGACCATCCCCGGGAGTCTGAGAGCCTCTCAGGGGATCTAACTCCCCCCGAGATACTTAGAAACAATCTTGTGTCCCTGGGGGCTGAGAGTCCAGCAGAGATGCCAGGGGGAAAGCTCCAGGGGCTCTGAGGCTAGCAGATGAGGGATGGGGTAGTCATGGCAGAGGGGGATACTGAGGGAAGAGTAGCCAGGCTGAAGTGAGGAGCACGGCAGCCCCATGGCCTCACCTCCCTGTCCTGGGTTTACGATGTACCTGGTGGGGTCCATTGAGGGGCAGTGTCTGTGATTTGAGGTGGGTCCCTTTCCATCGATCGGGGTCTCGGTTTCTCCATTTGTGGTGGGGGAGAATCCTGGCTCAGATCTCAAGGACATGTCCGTTCTGACCCTACAGGGATGCTGCCTTAGGTCTGCAGAATGGGAAGGTGGGCAGTGAGGGCTGTAGGATGCAGGGAAGGGCAGAGCAGTGACGTTGGTGACATCCCCAGGGCTCCTCTGTCCATCCTGCAGGGATCAGCCTGGCTGTATCCAGACAGCCCTGGTGGAAAGAAATCAGAATCAAACAGAAATAAGCAAGGCTTTGACGGTCGGACTCCGTGGGATGTAAATCCCAGATCTGCCACTTCTGGGCTGTGGGACCTCAGACGAGTCCTTTCACTGCCTATGAAGCATGTCTCCCATGGTCTCCCTCATGGGTTTGCTGAGAGGTTTAGGTGAGATCCTGGAAATGAGAGCCCTCCGTGGGACGGACCCACCGAGTGCACAGGATCCTCACGGCCCCTTCCCTGATGTGCTCGCTGAAAAGTGCAGTCAGACCCCACGTGCAAGTGTGGGGTCTGCAGGGCACAGAACGGGTCGTGGCTGGACTTGGGGAGTGGGGAAGGCACGGAGTCCGTCCCACACAGGGATAGTTCTGGGCACCCCAAAACCTCTGACAATAGGAGGTGCATTTAGCTCCAGCTACAGGAGGGCAGGGCACATGGGGACAACAGAACGGGCCGTTCCAATCAAGGTAGGAGCCCAGAGCCTGAAGCAGGTGTCCACTAGGGTGGGTAGTGTGAGGAGAGCACAGGGAACCCACAGTCCTGGGTTCAAATCCCAGCCCTGCCACCCACTTCCTGGCCCGGTGACCTGGGGCACCTGATTGATCTCTCTGAGCCTTGGTTTCCTTATCTGTGAAATGGGTGAAGGGGGGGTGGCATTCCCCTGGTGCGTGATTATTACGGGGATTACAGGTGATGAATGCACAGACCCCAGCATGGGTCTACACACAGTAGGTGCTCAGTTAACTGACATCATTGGTTCATTCATGATATCACTTGTGTCCAAGGTCACAAGTACCAGAGAATTTTGATCCAGGTCCCTGTGATCTTCCTCGTCCTGCTCTTCCTTCTCCTCTTCCTCCTTATCCAACACCAGCACCAGAAAAAAAGCTTCATGTCAGGTAAGTAGAAGATGGGAGCTCTGGTCTACCTGAGAAGTGAGACCTAACTCTGAAGATAGGAAGTGGCTTCTTAGAGCACCACCAAAATATGGCACCAAACAGAAAGAAATGCTCAGTTTTTGAAAACCCTCCAAATTAAACAATAAAAAATTTCTCGGAAGCTCTTTCCATCACAGCCTTCTTGGGACAGGCTGGAATCCCCACAAAGTACAGTTATGAGGGTGGGTAGCAGGGGTGTACCCAACGCCTGAGGAGCCGTGCCCGTGACGTGGAGGGGGGGTCATGGGAGGGGTCGTTATCCCCCTGCAGCCCAGAGCAGTGGGGAGTAGGCACAGTGGTGAGTGCGGGAGGATGTGGCGGTGGTTGGGAGATTAGTTGCTTTGAGCCAATATGTAAATATGGGGGCATAAAGGGAGCCAAGTTACTCAAGGTCTAAAGGGATCTATAAATGTGCAAAGGCAGTTGGCTAGAATAAACTCTGAGCTGTTCTACTGGAATTGGAAGTGCCAGGGTGACCTCATTAAAATGTATACATATACATCGATGGACATGACACAGTCGTAGGTGTGTCTGTGCATAGATGTACAAACACACGTGTCCCAGGTACATCCATCAATAAAATCTAGACACGGTGACGGCACGACAATCATCCAGATCTTGGTTTTTAACTCCTATCCTCTAGTACAAGGAATTAGGGTTCATCAGAGAAATTCTTTATTCCAGATTGGGACAGGTGAACTAATATAGGATGCTGGAGCATCTTAATGTGCCAGAAAGTGCAAAAACTCACCAAGAATGATGGAGACAAGTCAGAATAACAAGGAGCCAGCTGAAAGGAACTCCCTTTGGAAAGATGTAGAATGAGCTGAGCATCCAAGTATGGAATTACAATGCATTGACTAAAGCAGAAATCCGTTAGTTTATAGAGTAAATTAACTAATGCACCGGGGGAAAGGGCATGCTTTAGAGTAGAATGCCAACGAATCAATGCAGAATGATGAGCAATGAAGAGATTGGAGACTGTTATGAGTTAGCTGCCATGATGGTGGATGACTCAGGGAGGGTCGTCCGTGCATCGTAACAATAACTATGGTGTACTTGAGGACGGTCATGGTATTGGACGAATACTCAAATATCTGTCTCCAAATACCAATCAGATTCTAAGGGAGGATTGAGGACCTCACCACGGGAAACAATCAAATTCTAAGGGAGGATTGAGGACCTCACCACGGGAAACCTCACCACGGCAGACACCTACTTGACCGGGCATTCGGAGTACCCAGCACCAGGGATAGGACAGGTGGATATCCTGGGCTCCTGATATCGAGGGAGGTGATCACAGCCTTGTCAACACCCTTTCCAGGGTATCCATAAGTAGACACTGGGTAGAACCAGAAAGAAAATAAAAGACGCTGTTTGGCAGTTGGTAAGACAGGAACCGGGAGTGTGGGTTTGGTCCAAGTGTTGCATCAGTGAAGATCTCCTGATTGGGAGTTCTGGGGTCATGTAGACGAGAGTTCGTGCTTGTGGGAGGCACACACTGGTGTATTGAGGACAGAGGGGGCATTATATCAGAAAAAGACCTACCTACCTATCTACCTATTATCTGTCTGTCAGTCTATCTCTGTTTCTGTCTATGTGCATGCATACGTTTATGGGTGTGCATATAGATGCATTTGTAACGGACCTCCCCTTTCTTTCTCCCCTCCCCTGCAACACTCGTGCCTATATCTCCAAATCCACTTGCATCTCTATCTCTCTTTGGTAAAATGTTACCAGAGCAGAAATGTAGGTCAAGGTGATGCAGGAATCAAATACAGTTCTTATAAATATTTTCTGTAAAAAAAATAATAATTATAAAATCATTCAGAATGAAGAGATTTAATAATGGACATAGATTTTTAAAGACATTCTTCCAGTTTTATTTAAAAATATATATTTAAATCATCCATGCACGTTTTGTGTGTTAGAGTTTAGTCGTTTGCCCTGCATTCCAAATCAAGGAGGATGGGTGTATCACCTTGTCGGGCCTCAGATCCTCTGAGATCCTAACGTGGCCCTGGGGGCCAGGTTCTGGGGTCGTTTAGAAGCTAATTTCTCACTTCGTGCAGGTGACTAACATCCTGAAGTTGACACCAGAACCCTGCAGAAAAGGCAATTTCTCCCCAAAGACCCTTCCCCAACCTACCACCTCTGCCTATAGTTCCTTCACGGCTGCCTAATGCCCCTCTTTTTCCTCCCCTCAGCTCCAGCTCCATGGCTCCTGTCCAGGAGGAGAATCAGAGTAAAAAGGAGGGTCCTGGTGGGAGACCAGGAGGAGTGCTTGGGCCGGGTTCTGGGCTTCTCATGAAAACTGCCACATCTATGTGATCCCAGGCACATCCCTGCCCCTTGCTGGGCCTCAGTCTCCCCATCTGAGGGTGGAAGGGGCATGTGGGACTGCAGGGTTTTGGCATTTGGGCGTGATATAGAATGTTCTCGTTCTCCAGATGCTGAGGTGAGAGAGTCCCAGCCTGAGGAAGACATACAGATGGACAGTCAGATGAGCCCCTGCTCCTGTCCAGGGCACCCAGCACAGCCTTGTTAATTAGTTAAATGTATGGGCTGCTTCTCCATCTTCCTATTCCTCAGCTCAGCGGCATCTGACCTCACCCTTCCTCTTGAAAGGTGATACATGTAGGCTGCTGGGACACCTTCTTGGGTTATTCTGATACCCACATGGGCTCCTCCTTCTTGGTCCCCTTATTTGGGATCTTTGAACTGTTGGTTGTCCAGGTCTCGTAATGGTGGTGCTGCCAGGGACAGTTGTACAGTTTGTGCACTGCACAATAAAGACTGTGGGGTTTAAGACCCTACTGGTGGCGTCTGAGCAGTGTGCCTTTTCTTATTCACACAAAGGCACCCTATAGAATGGTCTGGCCATGAACAGAGACCCTCAGCCTGGCCTTTTCTCCACTTACTCTCTTCCCTCTGGTTGTGTGGATTTAGATGCAATGGAACTACACAATAACGTGCCTTAGGTGTAATGATTGTCATTCGGCTCCTAGTCCCGCAGGAAGCTCACCCAGCCATCGTGTTGACCTCACCATGAGACAACTCTGTATTTTATTTGTCATGTTTCTTTAATCCCAGGTACAGCTGGACCATCTCTATGCTCATAATTCCACAATTATTTCTAGCCTGGTGCCTGAGCACCAGCCTCAGATACCCAAGCACCTGTGAGCTGTTTCTTCTTGTCCGTCCACTGGGCATTCCAATGTCCCATGCCATGTGCCAAGTCTCCAGTCTCCCCAGAAGAGCTGTCTCTCCCTCGATGTTCAGTGCTTCCCCAAACCGTCCAGAGACACATTGTTCGTCACAGCTGGGAGGGGGTTGCCAATGGTCTCGAGGGGCCAGAGGTGCTGCCGCCCATCCCATGACGTGCAGGACAGCCCCCCACCCCCCGAGGAAAGAGTGCCCGGCCAGCTGTGGGGACACTCAGGGTGGAGGAGCTGTTTTAACAGAAGCAGGCTCTCCCCTGGCCTCTCCACTGCACTTACCACCACCCCAAATCAGTGTTTCCTTGTTTGTGGGCGGTTCCCAACCCCATGGCCATGAATTCCTCCAGGGCAGGGCGCTGATCTGTCCTCTTCTTGGCCCCCTGGCAAGCGTCTTGTCTGTCCATCTGTCTGTCTATGTGCATATTTATGCATGCACTTATTGTGTGTACATGGGTACCGAATGAAGTGGATGAACCAAATCCTAACGACTCCGAGTTTCCCCCGCTTTAGCCCATTTATTCATTCAGTGAGTTGACAAATCTTATTGGGAATCTATGTTTGGCAAGGCTCTGTCTTAGACCGGGTGACAGAAATACGAGTGAAAACATGTCCGAGCCAGGGATCCACAGGATCCGATTTAGGTTTTAAGAGCGACCCTGGCTTCTGGGTAGACACGTAAGTGAAGAGGGACAAAGTGGAGGAGTTTCGCCCTCCCTGGCGCCCCCAGCAGAGCCCTGACAGTGAGTTTGCCAAGGGGGTGACTCTGCCCCGGGGGGGAACCACACAGACCTCAAGGGGGGGTGGCCCCTCTTCCTTCCCCACATCGGAGGGATTGCTGGACACAAAGGACAGAAAGGGGGACAGGACAGACAGGTGGGTCCTTGCTGCTCCCGGCACCCTGGCTCCCCCACCCATCACACACTTTACTCCCACCCTCCCGTCCTCCAGGCCACAGCATCTGAAGACCCCCAGGATATGACCTATGCCCAGTTGAACAGCGGACGAGTGCACCCCCTTCCTCCCAGTCAACGGAGCCCCCAGCAGAGCCCAGTATGTATGCTGCTCTGGCCGTCCACTAGCCCGGGAAAGACCCAGACCTCACACCCCATGGAAGGGGGATTGCAGAGACCCCAGGAGGCCCTGGGGCTGCCCCCCAGCCCCGTGGACACTCAGCTAATGCCCCCAGGCCTGGGGACCTTTTGTAAGCAAGCAGGATATCCTGGAGCTTTAGAAATCACTTAATTCTGCAGGGCGCCTGGGTGGCTCAGTTGGTTAAGCAACTGCCTTCTGCTCAGGTCATGATCCTGGAGTCCCTGGATCGAGTCCCGCATTGGGCTCCCTGCTCGGCAGGGAGTCTGCTTCTCCCTCTGACCCTCCTCCCTCTCATGCTCTCTGTCTCTCATTCTCTCTCTCTCAAATAAATAAATAAAATCTTTAAAAAAAAAAAAGAAATTACTTAATTCTGCAGATAAAGATAAATATCAGCTCCATTTCTAACAACAACAACAAAAAACCGGCAGGTAAGAGAAGCAAACCACAAATGAAGATAAGACTTTTTTTTTTACTTAAATGACAATGCAAATATTCTACATCAACACAGATTTTTATTTACATGGTCATGTAAATGCCAGATGCCAAGATCAAATGGGAAAATTATGAATGAAATTATTACAAAGAGAAGAGAGCCTGAAAATCAGCAGTCGAGGCAGCATCTACAGGAGTCAGAAAAAGAACAGCAAAATTCATCCCACGGCACTGGGTGAAAATGATAACATATATTGATCATAAAGAATGAAAGAGATAAAAATCAACTGTGTGAGCTTGGGCTGCCATAACAAGATACCATGGACTGCGGGGGGCGGGGGGGGGCGGCGCTTAAACAACAGAAACTTATTTCTTCACAGTTCTGGAGGCCCAAGCCCAAGCCCAAGGTGCCGACAGGTTGGTGTCCTTGGAGGGCTCTCCCCACAGCTGATGGATGGCTGCTCACGTGGCTTTTCCTCCGTGTGGGCGTGTGAGCAGGGCAGAGAGATCTCTGCTGTCTCTTATAGGGTCAGTGCCCTATTTGATCAGGGCACCACCCAATGATCTCATGATCATTACTCCTTAGAGGCCCCATCTCCAAACACACTGGGGGGTTAAGGCTTCAACATGAATTCAGCGGGGGGGGGGGGGTGCGTAAACAGTCCACATCATTCCGCCCTGAGCCCCGAGATTCATGTCCTTTTCCTACACAAAGTACACTCATCCCATCCCTACAGTCCTCCCCGCCGCCCCAAATCTACATTCATTCCAGCATCAACGATCAATCTAAAATCCAGAGTCACATCTAAATTATCCTGTAAGTCAGACGTGGGCAAGGTTCGGGGTAAACACCTTCCAAGGCAGAATTCCTGTGCAGGTGTGGTGAGCCCGTGACCCGGATGAGTGACGTGCCCATCCCCAGAGGGAACGATAGAAAGAAGACAGAGGTGACCACGTTCAAAATCGAGCAAGGCAACTTGCACAGATCTTAAGGCTCCGGAATAATCCTCTTGGGCTCGACTCCCTGCATGCCAGGCCCTCTGGGGCGCCACCTCCATGGCTCAGCAGGGCTGCAGGGCCCTTCTCTCTGTGAGGGTCCCACTCCCAAGGCTTCGAGCAGAGCCTGCCCAGGGGAAACCGAGCCAGTAGCCCAAACTCTGAAACCAAGGGGCCAGCCCTGACGATCTCTGAATTGCCTTTGGGGTCATCGTCCTTCCCTTTCCTTGAAAAACAGCACACCTTTTGCAGACAAAGAAGCCTGCCTTCCCATTCCTGTAGAATCTTCCCACCCACCCACAGCATCTTCCATTTGGCATCTGCAAACTCCTCCCGCCTCTCCCGTGTCTTAGGTATTGGTTCGGGCAGCAAAGTCTGCAATCCTCTGCTCCGGCATCTCTGACGAACATCACAGACTACAGAAGTCTCCATGAGGTGCCAACAGGGCTGGTGTCTGGCGGGGGTTCCCCCCACCCCGGGGTTGCAGACAGCCTTTCCTTGGTGTGAGCGCGTGGAGAGAGACACGCATGAGCTCCCTGGTGTCTCTTCTTCTTTTTTTTTTTTTTAAGATTTTATTTATTTGAGAGAGAGTGAGAGAGAGAGCACAAGAGCGGGGAGCGGGAGAGGGAGAAGCAGACTCCCTGCCGAGCAGGGAGCCCAATGCGGGACTCGATCCTGGGACTCCAGGATCATGACCTGAGCCGAAGGCAGTCGCTTAACCAACTGAGCCACCCAGGCGCCCCTCCCTGGTGTCTCTTCTTCTGAGGGCCACCCTTACAACCTCATTCAATCCTAATTACTTCCTTAGACGCCCCACTTCCAAATACAGCCAGGCAGGGGGTGAAGGCCTCAGCATATGAATTGGGGGGAAGAACATAAGCATCCAGTCCCCTAACATTAATAAAGCCACGAACATTTATTATCGAGTATTCCCAGAATGTGTAAAGTCCTAGCAACACTCGACAAGAAATAGAGAAAAGACACCAGCATCAGTAATGAAATATGGGACATCACTACAAGTCCCACAGACTTTTATGGTGTCAACCTAAATAAAAGAGGTAAACCGAGGCAAGCCCGAATTACCAAAAACGGAGTGTGTTTGGGAATAGTGGAGGAACTGTACTTCAGGATGTGAAAACTGTAGCACGCAATCTACTGGAGTCTGTTGAGGGTTTGGGGCAGGCTGGGAGTCTGGGGAGGAGGACAAGGGGTAGGGAGTTCAGCTAGAGACCAAGCAGCGACTTTCCAGCTTGAGTCTGGGGAGGAGCTCTCGGTGGATGCCCCTTGGTCAAGGGATGGGTTTCCCTTTTCTGTAAAATCAGGCATTTACGGGAAATCAGTCTCTCTGACCTTGAGCATCATCCGCTAAGGACATATGCATGAGGTTCTGCATTTCATACCGTCCAGTTCTGTCCTAGATGGAAAGGAACATTATACTTTAGTCTCCCACATAGACTTAGATGTAAAATAACTTTTAAGAGGGGGGAAATGGGGTGCCTGGGTGGCTCAGTAGGTTGAGCGTCGGACTCTTGCTTTCAGCTCAGGTCATGATCTTGGGGTTGAGACATCAAGCTCCACATCCAGCTCATGCTGGGCTGAGCATAGAGCCATGACCCCCACCCTGACGGCCCTGCTCTGTCTCGGTGAGATCTGAGGAGGGGAGAGGACGCCCTATTTCTGGGAGGGACCCGCCCCACAGCCAGGCCCTGGTCTGTCAGAGACCCCAGACTCAGGAGGCTCATGGGAGGAGGGGTTCTGCTCAGGATTCGGGGCAAACCTCTCACAGGAACTCTCTTCCAGGGCTGAACTCTCTCCCTCTGCCCTACCCCCTTCCCCACCCGTGCACATTCTCTCTCTCTCCAAAAAAGTAAAAAATAAAAATGGGGGGAAATATCTGATTACAACAAACATTACTGCTCAATTCACATAGGTAATGGGTGGTAGAAAAATGTTTTGATAAAGATCAGTTTTCCCCCAACAAATCAGGACTTTGATCTACCATGTCCCCTACAGGTTACAGGCAGGACCCAAAACAGGGAGGACGGCTCTGCCCCAGGAACAAGGGGCACCGAGGAGCCAGGAGAGACTCACGGGGGATGTTCCCAGGAAAGGGGGCGGTGGACAATGCCAGAGCAAAATAGAGAAGTTCATGCAGGTTGTGATAGAAAGAGAGCCCATATCTGGGGCCAGGAGAGGGGTTGTGTTTCCTTCCCTATTTGCCTGTATTTCTCCTATGGGGCCATTGCCACCATGACCTCGACCTGAGCCGAGCAGAGACGGCACATGTGGGTCTGTGTTGACATGAGCTCCCCCGCACAGCAGGAACCCCCACCCCCTGCAGCATCTCTGGGCCTGGGGACCCCGTCCACGGTGAGGACCCCAGGGATGTGCTGAGGATGAAGGAGACCCATGGGGGAGGCTCTGGGAGGGAAGGACATGCCTGGTCTCCTCACCTGGATGGGGCATCTCAGGAAGCCTCGGGGTCCACTTGCTGCACCATCATGGACACCAGAGCCAGGCTAGGTCCTGGGGAGGGGCTGTTCTCCTTCCTGTGGGGCTGCTGACGTGACAACCCCGTGACGGACAGGAACGGCCTCCGCGTGGCCACACCCTGTGTGTCTGTCGTCCTGTGGGCGCCTTGCTCCCTCCGTCTGCACAGCCGAAACCAGAGAGAGCAGACGCCATGACCCCCACCCTGACGGCCCTGCTCTGTCTCGGTGAGATCTGAGGAGGGGAGAGGATGCCCTATTCTGGGAGGGACCCGCCCCACAGCCAGGCCCTGGTCTGTCTGAGACCCCAGACTCAGGAGGCTCACGGGAGGAGGGGTTCTGCTCAGGATTCGGGGCAAACCTCTCACAGGAACTCTCTTCCAGGGCTGAGTGTGGGCCCCAGGACCCGAGTGCAGGCAGGTGAGTCTGTCCCCAGGGGTCCCAGTCCCACCTCCTCACTGGGGACAGGGGTCACCCACCAGGCAGAGGGGATGGAGAACAGCAGTTCTGGGCTGACAGAGGGGGATGTCTGGGGGTTTGGGGCAGAGCTGGGACCTGGGGGTGGGGAAGGTCTTGTGTCCCAGCCTCTGTTTCCTTCCAGGGACCCTCCCCAAACCCACCATCTGGGCTGAGCCAGGCTCTGTGATCCCCCGGGGGACCCCTGTGACCATCTGGTGTCAGGGGAGCCTAGAGGCCCAGGAGTACCGCCTGCACAAAGAGGGAAACTCAGTGACCTGGGACGGTCAGAAGCCGCTGGAGCCCAAGGACAAGGCCAAGCTCTCCATCAAACACATGACACATGTAGAGGCAGGACGGTATCTCTGTAACTATCGCAGTTCCACTGGCTGGTCAGAGCTCAGTGACTCCCTGGAGCTGGTGGTGACAGGTGCGAGCCCACTCAGGGTCCCAGCCCCAGGCTGTGCCCTCAGGAAGGGGGTCTGCTCTCAGGGTGTCTCCCTCTCACAGCCCAGCCCTGGGGATAATGTGGGGGATCTGAGCCCCATTTAACACCGTCCCCTCCTCCTCTCCTAGGATCGCATGGCAAACCCAGCCTCTCAGCCCTGCCCAGCCCTGTCGTGACCTCAGGAGGGAACGTGACCTTCCAGTGTGGCTCACGGTTGGGACTCGACAGGTTCGTCCTGATGAGGGAAGGAGAACACCAGACCTCCTGGACCCTGGACTCCCAGCGAGCCCCCAGTGGGGGGTCCCAGGCCCTGTTCCCTGTGGGCCCCGTGACCCCCAGCCCCAGGTGGACGTTCAGATGCTATGGTTATTACAACAACAACCCTCAGGTGTGGTCGGACCCCAGTGACCCCCTGGAGCTGCTGGTCTCAGGTGAGGGAGTCTGATTGTTGCCCCATCCCTGTTTTGAGGCACCAGACAGGTTATGGGGGCTCCGCTCCCAGGGGAGCCCCAGATGAGAGGGTGGGGTGAGGGGACAACAGGAGCTCACAGGTCAGAGTCACAGAGGGTGATGGACAGTGAGACGGGGGTCAGGATGGGAGAAGGGAGGTTTGGAGAGCATCAGCCCCTGCAATCCACGGCTGGTCTCTCCCAGGTGCATTGGGGAAGCCCTCCCTCCTGACCCAGCAGGGCCCTGTCGTGACCTCTGGACAGAGCCTGACCCTCCAGTGTCGCTCTGATGTCGGCTACGACAGATTCGCTCTGTCCAAGGAGGGCGCACGGGACCCTCCCCAGCTTCTTGGCCGACAGCCCCAGGCTGGGCTCTCTGGGGCAGACTTCTACCTGGGCCCTGTGAGACCCTCCCACGGGGGCCGGTACGCATGCTATGGTGGACGCAAGCTCTCCTCCGAGTGGTCGGCCCCCAGTGACCCCCTGGACATCCTGGTCGCAGGTGAGATGCGACGGGGTCAGTCAGGACCCCAGACTCTGCACAGGTCCTGCCAGGGGGGCCCAGGTGGTGGTGGTGGGACCAGGGGTGTGGGGTCCCCAGGGAGGGAGAGAGACAGGGGACGGGGAAGGGAGAGACTCAGAGGACAGACAGTCTCAGTTCAGAGCAAGGGCTGGACAGCCCCTCACCTGCCCTTCCTCTCTCTAGGACAGCTCCCCTACACACCCTCCCTCTCAGTGCAGCCGGGACCCACGGTGACCTCAGGAGAGAATGTGACCCTGCTGTGTCAGTCATGGAGCTCTGAGGACACTTTCCTTCTGTCCAAGGAGGGGGCAGCCGATCCCCCCCTGCGTCTTAGATCAAAGCGCCGAGCTGGGCAGCACCAGGCTGAATTCTCCATGAGTCCTGTGACCTCAGCCCACGGGGGGACCTACAGGTGCTACGGCTCATCCAGCGCCTCCCCCTACCTGTTGTCCCAGCCCAGTGACCCCCTGGAGCTCCTGGTCTCAGGTGAGGGGCCCCTGAACCTGACCTTTATGAGCTCTGTCAGCTCAAGATGCACGTTTCAGGAAAGCCTGACACGGTAGCAAATGTGGGCGTCACGGGGGCTCCACGGAGGAGGGTCCATCCCAGGGGAGACTGGAAAGACCCACCGGGGCTGCCCTATGCTGCAGTCCCAGCAGAGGTAAGGAGTAGGGGGCTGCATGAGGGGTGGGGGAGTGAGGACGATCGTGAGTAGACAGAGGCCTCCCACTCACCTGTCCCCTCCATATCAGAATCGGAGCCGTGGTGTCAGCCCCACGGGACACTCTCCTAGAGAGAAGCCTCCCCGCCTGCAGGCGCCACTCTGCTGCCCCCTGTGCTCACCTGGGGGCCTCCATGCCCCTCAGTGCACACCTGAGACTGAGGAGGGGCCGTGCCCGGCTCACGGGAGTCCCCAGGGACGCTGCACCGTGTGCCCACGTGCAGCTGCTGTCCCCTGGGCATTGGGTGTGGACGCTTGTCCAGGTCCCTGCGCCTGCTTCTCACACCTTCTAGAGCAGCACCTGCAGATATGGTGACAAAGGGAACTCAGGTGACAGGGATGCAGCCTCAGAAACAAGTCATCCTTCTGTGTGCATCGGGTCACATCCGATTCACACATTCCTTGTGGGGAAGAACTTCTGGGCACTACCGAGTCTTAGCACATTTTCAACGAGTCCCATTTATTTACTTATTTCCTGCGTAGAAGTCAGCGATTCATCACTTGCATGAACTTCACAGCCTTTCAACGTTTTCCGTAGAAGTGGTGTCAGTTTGCAGCCTGTTCTATGAACTTCTTAGCTACTTTAATACCATATATGTCAGTTGTCCGAATAATAGTTCCCTACGCCTGAGAGAGCTATGGGTGTGGGCATATTTTTATGTGCTGTGAACTCACTACACTCTTTTCCTTTCAACTATTTCTCAATGCGCTGCTCGAAATTACACATGGAAATTTCACTTTCTCGTTTCCAAAATGCACACCTGTGTTTCTCACTTCAAAGGACGGAGAAAATGGTCACAAGATTCACGTCAGGGAAACAGCTTGATTTATACCCCAAATTTATTTTAAAGCAAGTTCATTAAAAATCTATTTTTATATTGAAAGCACCGCTGACCTATCCGTTTCAATCCATTTTCCTGCTTTATTAGGGTTTCATTAAAAATGTGATCTTTTCCTGAAAGATGTACGTCTCCTGAACAACTATGTTTTCTCTTTGATTTTTAGCCACATGAGGCTCTTTACAAAGGCTTCCTGGTTTCAAACATTTGGGTGTTAACCCAACTGCATAACGTTTACTGTTCACTAGTATTTTCTGAATTGTATAAGCTAATATTACTTTGACCATTTGTATGAATCTTGATAATTAGGATTGGTCCATATTTTGTTTTTCCTTTTTTTTACTATTTTCTTTTCATCTGAAAACTAGGTTGAGATGTTAACGATTTCCTAGTTTGTGTGTTCCCTCCATAGTAAATTCCACCGACTCTCTCCTTTCCTGGAGGTTTGAAATCCACACGTAGGGACTTCCTCAGGTCTGGCCTGTGATATAGTGGGGACAGAGGTTGTCTTTTCAGTGCAAATAAAACGATTAACTATCCCTACTTGAAACCTCACCTGATTTCTAGAGTTTGTCCCCAAACAGTGAGATGAGGATGGAGACTCCTCCTGGGCACGTGTCCCTGACCTGCCTCCAATTCCCCAAAGCCTGAGTCCAGACCCTCCTGTCCCCTGCCCACCCCCACACGCCACAGACTCGAGTGCCCTCCTGTTGAGGAACAGACAGACTGTACCTCTCTCTGCGTCTGTCTCTCTCTCTACACAGGAAGATGTAGATAGATATCCATACATATACACTTGATTATGTATTTATATTATATCTGCTATTATACAAATAGACATGGTTATAAAAATCCATACATATAATCTATGAGTGTAAAGCACATATATGTGTAATCCATGTATATCTATCTGAAGCCATTCATCCTCATGCCCATAATCTTCATCCCATAGCTTTTCACATGTTTGTAACTGGTCTTCCTGTCTAGATCCACACTGCAAGCAAGGAATAATGATGTTCATATGACCCAATGACTGAACATCTTTAGGAGATACATATTAATGTGTTAGATGTAGATATGTGTATACAGATCGATCGATCTATCTCTCTATCTATTTATCTAGCTATCATCTATCATCTCTCTATGTATCTACCACTGCAGGTATTTCTAACTATATGAAGAATGAATTAATGAACATATCCAAGGATGAATACTCTAGGTACAGATTAAAATGCAGACCCTGAAGAATGGGAGCTGGTTGATATGGAGCGAAGGGGACCCTGCCCCAGACATTGGCCCCTCTGTGCTCCTGACACATCCCCTCGTCCATGGACGCTGGGTCCTCAGCTACTGAATGAGTGGGAACTCTCGTCTGCAGGGACATGAGCACAGGAGGTTTGTGTCCCAGACTGAACAGAGAACATACAAGGACATGATGATTTCTGTGTGGGGAGCCCATTTTTCTCTGCAATCCTGAGCTCCTGGGGCACAGTCAGAATCTACCCAGAATGACTCAGAAGTCAAGTCTGAAATCAAGGAAAACAAGGAGGCTGAAGGAATCCAGTGAGGAGAGCAGAGGAACCCCTGCTAGTGCAGAGAAGGGTTAGTTCAGGAACTGTACAAAAACTACATAGTGACAGGTTGAGGGATATAGAACACAGAGCAGAGGGCAGGCTGGACGGGGGTCTCCAGGTCCTTCCATCTGCTTCCATCTTCCCTGCAGGAACAGCTGACACCGTGAGCCCACCCCAAAACAATTCAGACCCCAGCAGTGGTAAGTAGAAGAATGTCTCAGTGATGGGGCTGGGATGGAGGGGGTGTCCTGTCAGGGGGAGGCGGGTGTCCTGGGTCGACATCCGGCATCCGGGCTCATTTGGGTCCACACTGACCTCTGCACCCTCTCTGTCCTCATTCTTAGCCTCAGATTGCAGGGATTACACGGTGGAGAATCTGATCCGAATGGGCGTGGCTGCCTTGATCCTGGTGGTCCTCGGGATTCTGCTACTCGAGGCTCAGCACAGCCAGGCAAGGACCCCAGGTGCAGCCAGGAGCTAAACACAAGGGGGAGCCAACCCACCATTCCCTCTGGCAGACCTTTGGACATCAATCTAATCTGCCCAAGGGGGTCTGGAAGAAAGCCTGCAGCTCATGCTGGCTGATCTGCCTGCTGAGAACATCCAGGGGAAACATGGTTTAGATGCCAGGAAATGTCTGGGCTGTTCTCAGTCCAGGACTCGTCCCCCATGAACTGTGGTGCTTTCCCTCCTGCCATTGTTGGACATCCTTGACTGCCCCCCGTCTTTCCTCATCCCTGTGACTTGAGGGTTCGTCCCACACGGCAGGGTTGGGTTCATACCTTCCTACAGCAGCAGCTCTGGTCCACTTTCATGGGATACATTTCCCTTTACTCGCCATTTTCTCATTCCCTGATGTGCACCTCCATCCCTTCAGCCCAAAACACAAGATCTGTTTTCATAAGTAAATAGATGGGTGAAAATCAGGTCCACTTTGGAACACATGAATCCAAACCCTTGCCCTAAACCCTCTCTGGAATCGTGGAGGTCTTCTCTCCTCATCTGATGACACCTGGTAGAGTTTTCCAGAAATACCATCAGTTTGAGGGAGCTCAGGGGTGTTTGAAGTGAAGCCTGGTGGTGAGCTACTACACTGACTCCAAGATATAAGTGGTTTTTTTAAAATGTTGCGACTCGTGGCATTTGCCCATTTCTTTGGTGTAAACACTCCCGTCATGGCCAACATCAAGGAGCCGCATGAATGCACCGTGTGCCCAGGTGGGAGTCATGGATACAGCACCTTTCACAAGTGAGTGGGATCCAGCTGCAGGCACACCTCACTGGTGAGCACGACGTGCACGTGTGCTTCCTTCTATTTTAAAGGTCCTGGTACTTCCCACCTCAGTGTGATGCCACAGTTTCAGAGAAATTGTGATGCCAAAATCCTCCTGCATGCACAGGAGAGGCAAGAGAACACAGGGGCAAAATCCAAAGTTGGAGAAAATACTATGCACTTAGACTGCCGGTACATTACTGGTAGAAGTGTAAGTTGCTACAAGCAATTTGAGGAGTAGATCAGAATCCCCTGGTGGAAGGAAGGGACACAGCTCTGGCCCATAACTCCACACCCTAGAGGAAACTGGGCACATATGCATGGTGACTCCTGCAGGAGAATATTGACAAGGCTATTGCTCTGTGTAGACAAAGCCATACAAATAGAATTACAATTAATGAATGTTTGTGTTACGTGTATGTAATGGACTATTTTATGGCCAAAAAAAGCACAAATTAAAATACCAAGCAATCATATAAATCACTTTGGAACTAAACTGAAAAAAAAAAAAAAAAACAAGGGAAATTTTGAGAACCAGGTGTGTAGAGTTATTCCATTATATACATAAGTGCAAAAAAGAAGCGTGTATTATTTAAGGAGGCAAAGTTATGTTTAAGCCTATAAATAAAGGAAGGGAAAGAATCCCATGACATCTCTAAGGTGGTAAACAACATGGTGATGTTGAAGGTTTTGTTCAGGATGGAAACCACCATCTGGAGCACTGGTGGTGTTCTCCATGATGCTAGTCTGTCGACTCAGGGTCCACGTGTTGTTCCTGGTAAAGAACACATTTCTCTCTGTAACCTGCACCTAGTCTGCAGACACCTTAGTGAGATGGGGCTGAAGTGGGATGGAACAGCCATAGTCTACACTAGATCCTGAGCATCATCCAAAGTCACCTTGGATCTGACACAGTGCCTAGTCCCATGATGGCACTGAGGTCCCTCAAAACAGGATCACTATCTACCTGTGGAGACTCCCCTGAGTCTGATCAGACAATGAGCCACGTCCCAGGTAAGAAGCTGGCTCTCTGAACAGCCACTTCAGTGTCATGGACTGTGTGGTTAGCTATTAAAAACTGGTTCGAATGAGTCAGGACCTGTCATTCCTGGTAATCTGAACCAGGTTGGAGATCATCGGTGTGGACCTGGGGCCACTACAGAGACTGGGAATGGCCATCTCTGACTCTGGTTGTCTACTTCGACGATCTGGGGTCATGACAGCAGGAACTCTTACTCCACCATCCTGCTATCTGTCTGTCTGTATGTCTGCTGTTTGAATTCTCACATCCTCCAGCTTTTCAGATGATGTACTTTCATCTTCCCTTTTTCTTCATATTTCATAAATTAAACAAATATTGCATGTCTTACTCTTTTGCTTCCATATTTTTGTCCATGTTCCTTAAAAGGAAAACTGGGGTCTTCACTCAGCAGCTCTTGCCTGAAAACACTAACAGAAAGCATAATTTGCAAATAGCCTAAGATCTAAATAGCAGAGCAGATCCACACATGTCCACCATACTGTCCCCAGAGAGTGTGTTCTCACACCCATGCCTGTTCTGCTTTGGAAAATCCTCCGTGGATCTCCAATTCTTTCTCACGAGATGGTCCTTGCTGCTGAGTCAGGCATTCAAGGCTCTTCATGGTGAGCCTGGCTAACCTGTCCAGACTTATTTCCATCTGAATCTTGCCCCTGCTCTTATCATCAGTTCATTATTCCCAAAATTTGGGCATAAGATAGTAAGTACATGTTGCTCATGCATCAGGGGTGAGCTGATGCCGGGGAATCCTGCTGAAGTACCTCAGTCTCATTCAGATGTCTGCTTCGAGAGCTTCCAGAAAGCGTGCACTGTCTTTGATTGACAATCTGGGGGTTACTAGGCTCTGCATCATGGATCTCTAACCACTCCAACGTCTATTTCTGGAATACCGCCAACGAGATGGAGAAGCACAAAACAGGGAGAACACGCACGATGCATCTTGTTGCCAACATGCAGTTGTGGACATGCCCCTTCCAGTTTACTTGACTTATCAGATGGTCACAAGGTGGACTTCAGAGTGGGAACTTGGGCTCCACCACATGGACAGGCACTGAAAATACTCACTTCCAAAGGATGCAGTACAGGAAGGGAAAGCACTAAGTCTACAGTGGGGAGATGCAGGAAAGCTTGAACAACCACATGAATATCAGATGACGTGTATTTCACAGCAAACAATAGTATCACCGAAAAAGAAGGACAGTGCCTGATTAAGGGGTTTCCTCTGTAAGAAAACATAACAATTCTCAATGTGCAACCACCAAAAAGCACAGCTTCAAAATGCAAAAGACAAAAAATGGCTTGAACAGGCAGGGGGTTAGGGGGCTGACTCAAAGGGTAGCACATGTGAGTCTTGATCTTGGGATCTTGAGTTCAAGCGCCATGTTGGGTGAGGAGCCTACTTGAATAAAAAATATACGTGTGTGTGTGTGTGTGTGTGTTTAATTTCTTGGACGGAGAAGAAATGGGGAACTCCACAACCAGGGAGAGACCTCAACACTCTTGATTATACTTTTTTTTAAAAGATTTTATTTATTTATTTGAGAGAGAGAATGAGAGACAGAGAGCACGAGAGGGAAGAGGGTCAGAGGGAGAAGCAGACCCCCTGCTGAGCAGGGAGCCCGATGCGGGACTCGATCCCAGGACTCCGGGATCATGACCTGAGCCGAAGGCAGTTGCTTAACCAACTGAGCCACCCAGGCGCCCCACTCTTGATTATACTTACACTTTACATGCGAATTGTGGTGCCACCATTCCTCAATGGGAGATGATCTGCAGACTCCGTCCTCTCCTGGTCCACTTTCCATATGCCTCACTGTTCTCAAGCAGGAGCTCTGGGGAGGACCCCTCTCCTCTGAACCCTGTAGCATCTTTACAGTTTGCATGGAGAGCTATGCCCAGCATCGACGTCTGCTCTGAGGGGGCAGAATGAACAAGACGGTGTGTCCTGAGATGTTGGAGCCACAGGTCCTGTTGCCCATGGGAAGGGGCAGGTCAGCCAGGGGCACTGCTTATGAGAATGAAAAGCTGCCCCGCAGGCCAGGGAGAGGATCCCACCCTCCTCCCACACCCCTTGTTCACTGCTTCTCTGAGGAGGATGCTGTTGGGGTCTCCAGGCAGCCTGGCTGGAGAGGAGAGAAGCTTGCCCTCCATCCCTGTCTCTTGCACCTCACAGCCAACCAGCCAGCAGAAACCACTCAGCCTCCTTCACCCCTGTCCTGTCCACTCCACAGCCTACCCTGCAGCCCACACCTGGACACAGCTGGCCCGTGCAGCCGCATCCCCCACCTTGCCGGGGCTCTGTGCTCCAGGGCCAGCTGCTTCTCCAGGTCACCCCGCACACACCCATCTCTGCAACTTCCCTTCAGCATCTGCCCCTTCCCTTCCCAGAGTCCACCCCTGGTCCTCGCCATCCCCGGGGTCAACTGCTTGCTCTTCCAGCTGAACCCAGGGCTGTTCCCGGTGAGTCCAGATGTGACGCTCCAACCTCAGCTGCCATTCTGCCTTCCTCCACCCAGACTGGGGCAGTTTCCTGTGACACACCCACAGTCCTGCACACGCACGTGCACACGCACTCACACAATCATGCTGGGCCCGTAGACACTTCCCCAATTTCCCAGATCAGCGCTCTGGAAGCTTTTCCTCTTCGGCTCCTGTGAAAGTAGAGGCAAAGGTAATGTCTGCATCCCTTCTCTCCTGTGGAAGCGTGTTTATGAATCAGGAGGGGGGGTGTGAGCTTCATGTGATCAATCCATATACATCATTTGGAATACCAGCTGACGCTCAAGGTTTGCCTTCAATTATTGTGTTTATTTTATTTTATTTTATTTTATTTTATTTTATTTAAATTATGTTATGTCAGTCACCATACAGTATATCTTTAGTTTTTGATGGAGTTCTCAAACTCAACACCAAAAAACCCCAAATAATCAAGTCAAAAAATGGGCAGAAGACATGAACAGACACTTCTCCGAAGAAGACATACAAATGGCTAACAGATACATGAAAAAGTGTTCATCATCATTAGCCATCAGGGAAATTCAAATCAAAACCACATTGAGATACCACCTTACACAAGTTAGAATGGCAAAAATGGACAGGGAAAGAAACAACAAATCTTGGAGAGGTTGTGGAGAAAGGGGAACCCTCTTACACTGTTGGTGGGAATGCAAGTTGGTACAGTCACTTTAAAAAAACAGTGTGGAGGTTCCTCAAAAAACTAAAAATAGAGATACCCTAGGACCCAGCAATTGCACTCCTGGGTATTTACCCCAAAGACACAGATGTGGTGAAAAGAAGGGCCATATGCACCCCAATGTTCATAGCAGCAATGTCCACAATAGCCAAACTGTGGAAAGTGCCGAGATGCCCTTCAACAGATGAATGGAGAAAGAAGATGTGGTCCATATATACAATGGACTATTACTCAGCCATCAGAAAGGATGAATACCCAACTTTTACATGCACATGGATGGGACTGGAGGGGATTATGCGAAGTGAAATAAGTCAAGCAGAGAAAGTCAATTGTCATATGGTTTCACTTATTTGTGGAACATAAGGAATCGCATGGAGGACATTGGGAGAAGGAAGGAAAAATGAAGCGGGGGAAATCGGAGGGGGAGACCAACCATGAGAGACTAGGGACTCCTAGAAACAAACTGAGGATTTCAGAGGGGAGGGGGTGGGGGGATGGGTGAGCCCAATGGTGGGTATTGAGGAGGGCACGTGTTGTGTTTATTTTAATTATTGACTTACTTAAATTTATTTAGAGTCTCCTTTCCATGTACAATAGCAGCTAGTATGACCTTCATAGAACTTTCTGACCACAACAGTCCTTTGCTTAAATATTCCATAAACACTGGAAGAGGTGGCCATTTCCTCTGATGTGAAGACACCACAGCTACAAGAAACACGAAGAATCAGGGAAATATGACGCTACCAAAGGAAAAATCACATCTGCATTAGCCGACCATGAAAACAATGGAGATGGGTGAACTGCCTGACAATTCAAAATAATTTTCTCAAAGAACCTCGGTGAACTCACCTTCCACCAGGGGCCAGGAATACAAATGACAAAGGACAGTCTCTTCGATAAATGGTGTTGGGAAAATGAAACGTCCACATGAAGAAGATTGAGATTGGACCCTCACCTCACACCATATCACAAAAATCAACCCACATGGATTGAAGACGGAAACCTAAGACCTAAAACCATAAGACTACTGAAAGAAAACATACGGGAAAAGCCTCTTGACATCAATGTGGGCAATGATTTTGGGGATATGACCCCAAAAACATGGGCAACCGAGGCAAAAATAGACAAGCGGGATTGTCAAACTGAACACCTTCTGCTCGGCCAAGGAATCATCAACAGGGTGAAAAGGCAACTTACAGAACGGGAGAAAATCCTTGCAAACCACCCATCTGATAAGGGAGAGTTTTCAAATCTATAAGGACCTCACACAACTCAGTGCAATAATACCGATCATACTAAGAATAACCCAAATGAAAATGGGCAGAGGGCCCGAAAAGGCGTTTCTCAGAAGAAGACATCCAGAGGGCTGATATGTATATGAAATGGTGCTCAGCATCACTCAGCTTCAGGGAAATGCAAATCAAAAACCTCAGTGAGACACCAGCTCCCACCTGTTAGAAGAGCTCTTATCCAAACAACAAGGTGTAACAAGCTTTGGCAACAGTGTGGAGAAAATGAACCCTTTGTGCACGGCTGCTGGGGGTGTAAATTGGTGCAGCCGCTGTGGAAGATCAGAATGGAGTTTCCTCAAACGATTCAAAAGAAAGCAACCCTGGGATCCATAGGATCCAGCAATCCCACTCCTGAGTCTATGTCCACAGTAAATGAAATCAGGATCTCAAAGAGACATCTGCACCCCCGCGTTCATTGCAACATTAACCACAACAGCCAAGATATGAAAACAACCTAAATGTCTGTCTACAGATGAATGGATAAAGAAAATACGGTATTTATGTGAAAGGAGCACTACTCCACCTTGAAAAAGGAAATCCTGTCATTTGCGACAACCTGGGTGAACCCGGGGGACATTATGGGAAGGGACTTACGCAAAGCACAGAAGGCCAAGTACAGGGCGATCTCACTGATGTGTAAAAAATCCCAAATAGCAAACTCCTAGACACCCAGTAGAATAGTAGTTTCAGGGGCCGGGCAAAGGGGGGCATGGGGAGATGTTGGTCAAGGGGTATCAAGTCTCAGTCATGCAGACGAGTAAGTTCTGGAGATCCAATGCACAGCATTAGATCTAATGCACAGCAATGTGACTGGAGCTAACTGGAGCCTTTTGCATGCTGCAAAT